GTTAAAATATTGGATCGAAAAGACGGTTTTATTTGATAAAATTAACAATTTTATTACTAATATTTACTTATTCACTCGACGTTAACAAATACCCTATATATATACATAATAAACGAAAAACCCAGGGGCAATCAAATACTTATAAAAGTTAAAAATTCAAATTGCTGCTGTAGAGAGAGTGGTATTTAGCAAAGCAAGGAACAATATAGAGGATGTCCCAAAAATGTCTCGCAATCCGAAAGTGGCGGGTTCCTCAGGTCATTTGGAGCAACATTTTCCTTTACAAAAATTTTCTCCGAGGCACCATTAGCGAATTATTAACGAAAAACAGTGACTAATGAGAGGCGAGCTCAGCTGGCGCGAGGCGACCGAGCGGAACTGGGCTTCGTGCGCAGGTTGGCTGGGCCGCCTCGCGTCAGCCGTACTCGATTCTTATTGGTCACTGTTTTATCGTTAATAACTCGTTAACGGTGCCTCGGAGAAAATTTTTGTGAAGGAAGAAGTTGCTTCAAATGATCCGAGGAACCCATCATTTCCGGATTGCGAGACATTTTTGGGACATCCTGTATAATGGCACTTTGCACGTCGAACACCAAAACCGTGATTCTTTCCTAATTTTATTTTTATAACAATGTAAGCAACTTCGTGCAGGATTGGCCTCGAAATATTCTGAACATCTTGAAATTTGAGAATATGTTTTTGTTTTCCTTGAAATTACAATTCAAATAGCCAATGGTCACTACTTCTTACGCACGACGAGTATACTCGTCGTGTCACAAAATATAGCCATTTCTCCATGACGAGTATACTCGTCAAACACAGCTAACTGGTTAATATAGTAATTGCTCCCTAATTCGCGCTCAGATTGCGCGCAAAAATACGATTATTCGAGGTTTGCATCTCGTTTTTATAGTTTTTGACAATCGGTTTGAGCAATCTGAGCGCGAATTAAGGAGAAATACTGTAGATCGGTAAATCAGTAGCGATAACAATCTCATTCGTGAGTCGACAAGCTATCATAAGCTTCTCCCGGATACAACAGAGTCGTTGAGAAGCCTGTTTGCTATCTCGACTGCTGTGTCATCCGAATTTCAGCGATTAATTTTCGTGGTCCCCGAGTGGACGATGATCGCTCCGACAGATATCCGGTAGATAAAATGTCGAAATTAGTCGAGGTTTCGGCGAAAGTGTCACCTTCTTGTGACGAAAGTGTCACCGGTTCTTTTTACAGGGCGCGTTGGCCAGCAGCGCTCCGGTATTCGCGAAGGCCGACTTTTACGGTGAGAGACAGTGATTCACGCTTCCCGAGACTTTCGTCTCGCGTTTAACCTTTTAGGCCCGACGCGCCACTATAGTGGCTTCCGTGGATGTCATCTTTCAGAACAACACGCCACTATAGTGGCTTTCGCGGATGTCATCTCTCTGGACGACGCGCCACTATAGTGGCTTGCTCTAGTAGCTCACTCATCGTTTGAACCAAATAATCGTCTTCATATGCATTGTTTCACACTTCTTTTGTCTTCGCATCGATTTACAACAGTCTACAGGGTATCCCAAAAATGTCTCGCAATCCGGAAATGGCGGGTTCCTCGGATCATTCGAAGCAACTTATTCCTTTACAAAAATTTTCTCCGAGGCACCGTTAACGAGTTATTAACGAAAAACAGTGACCAATAAGAATCGAGTACGGCTGACGCGAGGCGGCCCAGCCAACCAGCGCGCGAAGCCTAGTTCCGCTCATTGGCTCGATCGCCTCGCGCCAGCCGAGCTCGCCTCTCATTGGTCACTGTTTTTCGTTAATAACTCGTTAACGGTGCCTCGGAGAACATTTTTGTAAAGGAAAAAGTCGCTTCAAATGGCCCGAGGAACCCGTCATTTTCGGATTGCGAGACATTTTTGGGACACCCTGTATATACAGTATCAGACTCTGTACAGTACACATCAGACTCTACCGTCCAGAGAAATAGCCTCGCGCAGAATTCAGCCGTACCTAAAAGGTTAAGCAAAGAAAGAGAGAGAGAAAAAAAAGAATCGGTTACGTTTTGCAGAGTATTACGAAGTGGTGACCGAATCGCTGCGTAGGCACAGCCAGCAATGCGTGGACGACATTAAAGCCGCGTTCGACGCGGTCGAGGAACTGTTGGCGACCCCGCAGGGCCTGGAGAAATTGAAAACCTACTTCAAGTAACACCCATTCGACTTTACGTAACTCCGTAACTCGTATCTGTGCAACACTGTTCAAATCTGTTTGCATGAAATTTGTTTAGCTTGTGCGACGCGCCACCAGCGAAGTCCCCCAGCGACCTTGGGCTCTTTATGAACACTTTGGCGGAGGTACGGGTCTTTAAACTGTTCAACCGTACGATTATGTCACGATGTTTACCCTGTTTTTCACGTGCGCGAAAGATAACCGGAAAATTCTCGGTTACGTAATGGTTTCTTGTCCGCCAGGCATTCGCGGGTGTCGTTCAATACGACAAAGTGGTGAAAGGGCAGTCGAACATTGCTGCCTGTTGCAAACACATGACTGCGCCCTATTTAGGCAGCCCCCTTCAAAGACTGGCTAGCCTTGTGTCCGACCCGAAGGAATGCTCGGCTGTTGATTACAAGAATTTCATCCTTAATCACACTAGAAAAGACTGGGACAAGCAGCCCGACGTCAGTACGTTTCATGCCCGCGATTTATTCCGAGCATCGAGTTCACCCCCCTCCGTCTCCCAATTTCTCAATTTCATGTTTTCTTAATCATTTCGTACGACGATAGATAAGGTATTAATTTTAGAGATCTTTCTTTCCCACGTGTCATTCTTATTATACGCGTACGCGCGTGTTTCAGCACACGTACAGTAATGTCTCTCTAATTGACGCTCAGATTGTCCACGAAAAATGTACAGTTTGGGAAGAGGAGATACGATTATTCGATTCTTGCGGTTCATTTTTGTTTTTCAATTACGAATTGTCAACAACTATAAAAACGAGCTGTAAGGTTCGAACAATCGTATCTCCTCTTCCCAAATTGTCCATTTCTGTGGACAACCTGAGCGTCAATTAGAGAGACATTACTGTATACACGTGTGTATCAAAATCTATATATTTCAGCACACGCGAACACACGTGTATTTCGATATGTGTGTACACGCGTATTTCGGTACACGTGTACCCGTGTATTTCAACAAATAATTAAACATACGCGTGCTAATAATACATTCATACTTAAAAGATAAATACTTGAAAATGCAGATATTTTGTTCCACGTAAAATATAATTGCGCAAAATAAAAGATATCGGCAGTACACGGGTACGCGCGCATGCGCAACACGCGTTCACGATCTCTAATTAATGCTCTAATTAATGCTCTCTAATTAATGCTTTAGCTTCGTTGCAAAAGAATCAAGGAGATAACACGAGATAAAATTATTCTCGCTGATTATATTATAAATAGATTGCACTAATACGATGCGAGGAACGGACGAGGTTCGGATTACAGCAAATTCTCCCCCAACTGTCCATTCTTGCGTACAATTCGAGCGTCAATTAGAGAGAATTTGCTGTACACGGATATACACGTATCGAAATACACGTATACACGTATAGTATGTGTACTTATATACAGTAATGTCTCTCTAATTGACGCTCAGATTGTCCACAAAAATGGACAATTTGGGAAGAGGAGATACAATTATTCGAGCCTTGCGGTTATATTAGATACGATTATTCGAACCTTGTGATTTGTTTTTATAGTTACGAATTGTCAACAACTATAAAAACAAATCACAAGGTTCGAATAATCGTATCTCGTCTTCCCAAATTGTCCATTTTTGCGGACAATCTGAGCGTCAATTCGAGAGACATTATTGTATTGAAATGCACGAATCTTGATACACGTGTACAGTAATGTCTCCCTTACTGACGCTCAGATTGTCCACAAAAACGGACAATTTGGGAAGAGGAGATACGATTATTCGAGTCTTGCTTTTCGTTTCTATAATTGAGAATTTTATTTTGAAATTTTATTTTGAAAGTGGCATAAGTCACTTTACCGTAACGAAAAGTGGTGATTTTTTAAATGTTTATACGAAATTATTTATACTGAGAAAAATATCAGTATCCTCAGATAACAAATACAAGTAAATCTTCTCGAAAGTTAGCATCCATATTTTTAAACGTGTTAAAAAACGCAAACCCTTAAATATATCGACTTAAAAACAAAGTGACTTATGCCACTTTTGAAATAAACGGCTCAATTGTTGACAATCGGCAACTATAAAAACGAACCATAAAACGTAAACAATCGTATCTTTTCTTCCGAAATTGTCCATTCTTGTGCACAATCTGAGCGTCGATTAGGGAGACATTACTCGTATTCGAGCCTTGCGGCTCGTTTTTATGATTACCGATTGTCAACAACCATAAAAACGAGCTGCAAGGCTCGAACAACCGTATCTCCGCTTCCCAGATTGTCCATTTTGGTGCACAATCTTAGCGTCAATTAAAGAGACATTACTGTATTGAAATACACGGATCTTGATATACGTGTACAGTAATGTCTCCCTTGCTGACGCTCGGATTGTCCACAAAAACGGACAATTTGGGAAGAGGAGATACGATTATTCGAGCTTCGCGGCTCGTTTTTATAATTGTTGACGATTCGTAACTGTAAAGACAAACCGCAAGGCTCGAATAATCGTGTCTCCTCTTCCCAGATTGTCCATTTTTGCGGACAATCTGGGCGTCAATTAGAGAGACATTACTGTACATGTGTACCGGAATATACGTGCACGCATATGTTAAAAACGGCACATATCGAGACACGTGTATACGTTAATTACTAAAATTAATACTTGATCTATCGTCGTACGAAACGATTAAGAAAACACGAACATGTCCATTTCTGTTAACAAGCTTTCGTAATTTGAACGCTTTCAGTGAGACAATGGTTCTATCAGACGTGCACCGAGTACGGTTATTTTCAAACATCTACTTCGAAGAAGTCCACTTTCGGCACGATGGTGCCGTTGAGCTTCTTCACGGAAATGTGCAGGGATCTGTACGACTATTAGTAAGTGCCGCAAACGCGATTCGCGTGAGATTGCGTGTTTCCGTTTCGCTGAACCCGCTCTTTCTTCGCAGCTTCGACAGCAAATACTTGGACAGTAGAGTCAGACGAACGCATATAATGTACGGAGGCATGCGGCCGGATTTGCGAAACGTGATCTTCACCAACGGCGACGTCGACCCGTGGCACGTGCTTTCGGTTCTTGAAGACTTGAACGAGTTCTCGCCGGCTATACTGATCAACGGTAAAGAACTTGCTTTCCTAACTTCGCCTTTTTCTTTATCAAATTGACGTCGACGCAAGGGTGGTGAGCAGGAGAATTGAACTCGGTAAATTCTTCAAGGTTCCTCGCACTGTCGCGATCTGCAGAACAACGATGCCGCGGACGTTCCCGGCCTGGTCCAGGCAAGGGCAAAAGTACGAGAGATCATCGGCAGCTGGATCGCTTCGTAATTCTCGTCGGAAGAAAACAAGATAATCGTTGATGTAGAAAAATGTGCATTTATTTCCTATTTACAACCGATCGGGTGCCACAATCAAATTTCGTGCAACTTATGATACAACATTAAATCTAATCCTACATTGTTCTCTGATCTATTCTCGTGAAACACTAGTACACCTTGCCCGAGTTTCCCCACGACCGTTTCACGGCTGCTAATTCCGTGGGACTCGGGCAACAAAAAAGCGTTAAGTCCTTAAGTCCTTATCTCTACGTTTCGCTCCGGGAGAAGCGGCAATTAATAATTAACAATTTGTCGAGCGCGCGGTCGCGCCGACCGAGATCGTAGATTTATTTAGGCGTATCCGCGATACGAATATGCTACCAACAGAAATATCGACTATATGTCTCTTCTCCACCCCCCCCCCCTCCCCTCCCTCAGACAAAGTAAATACGATGAAAACGATAATGCTTTCGTTAACGACGAGGATTCGAGGATCGTGATCAATCGACCTCGAGCTTTCTGAACGAGCCGGTGATGCCGTACATGTTTGAATCGCTGGATCCGATGTCGGAGCATCCGAAACCATGCTTCAAGGCCGAGACCGCGCCTTCGCGAGCCTTCTCGGAATACAGCTCCAGGCGCACTCTCATCTTGTCGTGGCTCAACAGAGTGGGTCTCATGTCCAGCAACTCTTTCCTCCACAGATCTGCAATAACAATTCGATTATTATAATTATTTAATGTTATATATATTATTATATATATATAATAATATATAATATATAATATTATATATATATAATAATATATAATATATAATATTATATATATTATTATATAATTGTAATTATATTATAATAATATATAATATCATATATATTATTATATAATTGTAATTATATTATAATAATATAATTACAATTATATTATTATAATTTCTGCGAAAGAAAGATCACCGATCATTTCCTTCATGGGCATGGTGCCGCCGTATTCTTTCGGCAGCAGGCTGGTGTCCATTTTCTGGTTCACAGCGTCCTCCAGGCTGGTGTAGATCTTCACCCGCTTCCGGATCTTGTCGGAGATCAACGTGAGCCCAAAGTCGAGAGCAAACTTCACGGAAGGGTGCGTATTGATAGCGTGGACCTCCTTGTGCCGCATAGGTATGGTACGCTGGAAGAAACGTAAACCCGATACAGAGTGTCCCAAAATAATAGTATTTCCGGGAAACGAGGTGGTTCCCGAGGTCATTTGAAGTAACTTTTTCCTTAGCGAAAATGCAATCCGCGGCTTCGTTTACGAGTTATTAACGAGAAACGCTGACCAATGAGAGGCGAGCGCGGCTGACGCAACGCGGCCGAGGCGCCAGCTGATCTCGTCTCTCATTGGTCGGCGTTTTTCGTTAATAACTCGTAAACGAAGCCGCGGATTGCATTTTCGCTAAGGAAAAAGTTACTTCAAATGATCTCACGATCCCATTTCCCGGAAGTGCCATAATTTTGAGACAGCCTGTATTAACCGTTCCAAAGTATCCTCTGAGACGATTTGATATACTGGGTGTCACAGTAACTCTGTTACAAAGCGATATCTCCATTATCGTTAATGATACGCGGAAATGCTTGAGAAACAAATTGTTTGATTCGAAGGAACACATCTTGTGATGGAAATTATTTTTTTGTAAAGGTCATATTTTTTGAGATTTCAAGGTCATCGATGTTTTTTCAAATACGATTACATATTTCTATCATTATATCGCGATAGCTCTGATCAAAACGAATCCAATAACTTATAATACCACGACCTTCGTGTGACCTTGGGTACGAAAGCTAAAGAAATTTTTAGACATGTTCTTTAAATCTTGATAGCGTGAGATGAGCAGAAAGTTAAAAGTCTCCGAAAAGGTATGTGGGCCGCGATCAACGAGGCGACTTGTCATCCGCGATTAAAATGTTAATTAGTCGTCTCTCGCCGAAAGGACGAATTCTGTCGGCTCGGCGAGCGACAGAGGGTTCAGTGGGGCAGAATCGCTACGAAAGTATCACAGTCGTTATCCGATCATCGACGAACATTCGGGAGGGGGGAAAAAGTGGAACAGGGGCTAAAGAACCGGTTATCGTGTCCCGTCTTTTTCGGAGTCGTTACGAAACGCTGTTGCATCATTGTCCTTGAATCGGAAGCGTTTCACGGCGGATGTCGATGATCGAGAATAGGCCGGTCCGGTCCCAGTTTCGCGGTAAAAAAGGTGGCGGACATAGAAGGAGGAACGATAGGAAGAAAAAGAAGAAGAAGAAGAGTGAGAGAGAAGAAGAAGAGAGAGAAGATGAAGAAGAGGAGTGAGAGAGAAGAAGAAGAGAGAGAAGATGAAGAAGAAGAGTGAGAGAGAAGAAGAAGAGAGAGAAGAAGAAGAAGAAGAAGAGTGAGAGAGAAGAAGAAGAAGAAGAGTGAGAGAGAAGAAGAAGAAGAAGAAGCGTGAGGGAGAAGAAGAAGAAGAAGAAGAAGAGTGAGAGAGAAGAAGAAGAAGAAGAAGAGTGAGAGAAAAGAGGGCGGTACCTCGCCGTTTTTAACGATGCGGACGGCCTCCTTCGGCGTGAAAAGCGTCAGATGAGGGAAACTGACGCCGGCTCCGTCGGCGAAATGAACGTAGCCGCGCACTTGGCTCTCCTCGTCCTCCATCAGCGTCTCGTAGGTGATCGCATGGATTCTGCACATGTCGGCGTTCGTGTACTTGTGCGGATCGAACACACCTGCGATCGAACGCAATCCATGAAAATTTCGCGAACGGTGACTCAACCCGGGGACTGGTTGCGAGAAATCAATTTTCGCGTGCCGCGTGAAAACGGGGATAATAATCGTGTCGGCGATCGAGCAACGGAAACGCCTGTGCAATCACAGTCCCATACATGTTTTCTTAGACTTTGCTCGTTGGAGCGAAAGCTGTCATTATCATCGCCGGTATGCCGGGAGAGCGACATTTACCTGGTCTAGCGATAACAACGCGGCGGCCTTTCTTGTCGCGTCCGGGTGCGGCGAACAGGTACCTATAAACCGGGAGAACCGAAGCGGATTACAATATGTGCAGGATGTCCCATAACTGTGTTAACAGCCGGAAAGAGGTGATTCCTGAGGTCATTCGAAGTAACTTTCTCCTTTACGAAAATGTTCTCCGAGGCATCGTTATCGAGTTATTAACAAGAAACGGTTGACCAATGATAGCGTGACGCGTGGCAGCCGAGTCAACGAGCGGAACTGGGCTTCGTCCGCTCATTGGCTCGGCCGCCTAGCGCTAGGCGAGCTCGCCACTCATTGGTCAGCGTTTTTCGTTGATAACTCGTAAACGAAGCCGCGGACGGCATTTTCGCTAAGGAGAAAAAGTTACTTCAAATCACCTCAGGAATCCCCCCTTTCCAGGTGTTAATATAATTATGGAACACCCTGTATGCTGCGACAATTTACGATCACCGCTTTCCCGAGTCTCACCCCAAAGTCAGAAGTTCCTCCATCGTAGACTCCGTCGAGTCCAAATGATTGAAAGCCGGATGGTACACCTGTCGCAGCAGCAAGTATCTCTCGATGGCCTCTTCAGCCATCGGTACGTTAAACTTCTTGGATCTCAGAAACCTTAATAAGAATTGGCCATCTGTCGATCGGGGGGCAAGAACGCGGCGATTAGAAACAGCGGACGAAAGACGTCGAACGATAACGATTTATTAATTTATTAATTCCTTGTACGTTGATCGATTATTCCCGTAGAAGAATGAGTAAATATATAAATTGATAAATTAATAAATAGATTAGTAAATTAATAATAGATTAATAATAGATTAATAAATTAATAATAGATTAATGATAGAAAAATAAATTAATGATAGATTAATAACAGATTAATGATAGATTAATGATAGATTAATAAATTAATAATAGATTAATGATAGATTAATAAATTAATAATAGATTAATAATAGATTAATGATAGATTAATAAGTTGATAATAGATTTATGATATATTAATACTAGATTAATTAATTAATTAATTGAAAAACGCGATTCTCTCACCGAGACGGCTGTTCTCGATTCGCGGATTCATTTTGATCCAATTACGAATCTGCTCGAGGGCCTGGTCCCGAGTGTTCTTGTCCTCTCGGAGCTCATCCTTGGCGATCTGTTGCGTCTCCTTCGAGAGCTTGCACTCGTAGCTGTCCTCCTCGGTTACCCACTCTACCGCGCCCATTTCGATCGATCCTCAAAGTTCCAAGGTGTCCCGGGGAGCTGAAATTCTACGAAACCGTCGTCGTCAGGATCGCGGCTCGATTCATCGAGCCTAAACGTGCATCGGCGATGTTCTTACGGCCGCATTTTCGGGCACATAAAATTCTACACGTGTGCGTACGACAGCACGGGAAACTGGATGCGATACGTTTCCTCGTCCTCGGGCGGGTGCGACTCCTTCAGCTTCGGGCCAACTGACACGGTTCCCTCGGCACCGTTCAAAGCCACCGTCGTCGACGAAAGCGAACATAGAGACCGCGGATGCGACGAGTTTAGCAGACACGCTCGATGCACACTCTCTTATGCTCATTTTTCTACTTTCATCCCCGTTCCGCGAACGAAATGGGCCCTCGCCCCCCCTTCCCCCCGCGGGTTTCGTAATCCGCATAACCAGCGTTGACTCGCCGGCTGATTTCGTGACATAACAATTTCTTCGGTTCATGATATAATGTTCTTGCCGGGTGTACGAACGCCGGAGAGTATTACGTGTTCCACACGATACCCCAACGTATGCTGTAAGCGAGTCCCTCGGAAAGTTTCGCAACAACTTTCTCCGGTTACGCAATCGTCTGGGCTCTGCGCGCCCATCTTTGTTATCCAATTTTGTGCTACCACGAGCTAATGCGGATCGATCGGTTTCCCCATCGTCTCCCATTAAACAACCTCTACCATCCGCCGTGTGTGTGTGCGTGTGTATGTTTTCCTATCCGCCAACTAATTCGAGTCCGCAATCTATAGATCGCGCGAGACAGAGAAATTCTTGTGCAACCGTACAATCGACGCCGTTCCTCTCTGTTTCGGGGCCAGGATGACCGGTCTCTTTTTGTTTACGCGGAGAATTCCTTTCGTAAACTGAACCCTTATTCGTTAATGCGATCGGAAGACGATCCTGCTTACGTAAAACAGACGTTAATCTCGTTATGGTATTATCATCGGATTTTCGGGAGCTTCGCATTCGTCGAGCAACTTCGTCGCATTTAGGCTTTTGTGTCCGATTACAGTAATGTCTCTCTATTTGACGCTCAGGTTGTCCGGAAGATGGATAATTTGGGAAGAGGAGGTACGATTATTCGCGAGTCTTGCTTTTCGTTTCTGTAATTGAGCCGTTTATTGTGAAAGTGGCATAAGTCACTTCGCCGTAACGAAAAGTGGTGATCTTTTAATGTTTATTAATACTGATGTTAATATGATTATTATATAATAATAATAATGATGATGATAATATGATTATTATATAATAATAATAATGATGATGATAATATGATTATTATATAATAATAATAATGACGATGATAATATGATTATTAATACTAATGATTATTTATACTGAGAAAAATATCAGTATCCTGAGATAACAAGTACAAGTAAATCTTCTCGAAAGTTAGCATCCATATTTGTAAACGTGTTAAAAAACGCAAACCCTTAAATATATCGACTTAAAAACAAAGTGACTTATGCCACTTTTGAAATAAACGGCACAATTGTTGACAATCGGCAACTATAAAAACGAACCGCAAAGCGTAAACAATCGTATCGTTTCTTCCGAAATTGTCCATTCTTGTGCACAATCTGAGCGTCGATTAGGGAGACATTACTCGTATTCGAGCATTGCGGCTTGTTTTTATGATTACCGATTGTCAACAACCATAAAAACGAGCTGCAAGGCTCGAACAATCGCATCTCCACTTCCCAGATTGTCCATTTTGGTGCACAATCTTAGCGTCAATTAGAGAGACATTACTGTATTGAAATACACGGATCTTGATATACGTGTACAGTAATGTCTCCCTTACTGACGCTCGGATTGTTCACAAAAACGGACAATTTTGGAAGAGGAGATACGATTATTCGAGCTTTGCGGCTCGTTTCTATGATTGTTGACGATTCGTAACTGTAAAGACAAGTCGCAAGGCTCGAACAATCGTATCTCCTCTTACCAGATTGTCCATTTTCGCAGACAATCTGGGCGTCAATTGGAGAGACATTACTGTACATGCGTACTGGAATATACGTGTATATTATTATTATTATTATTATTAATATCGGATAATTTTTGAATTCGTAGCGGTCTTTCTACCTCGAACAGATGTTAATCTAATTAATTATTATTAATTTATAGATTATTAATTATTATATATTATTATATAATATAATATTATAATATATAATATATATATAAATATATTATTATTATTATATAATATAACATATATATATATTATTATTATTATATAATATAACATATATATATATTATTATATTATATATTATATATAATATTATGTAATATTTATTATTATATAACAATATTATATATAATATATATATATATATATATATATATAACTATATTTATAGATTAATAATTAAATAC